AGCGTCACAGCTCTCTGCACACGCTCCGAACTACTGACGTCGTCGGGAACGTGCCGTCCTTATTCCCAGAGATTTAGTGATGATTCCTACATTCAGGAATCCCGTCTAAACTTCACACACTCTGTCTCCATGGTGATTCATGCTGTCGCCCACCTTGTTGACACACACAGTTTACAGCAGGCTTTAAACTGCCACACAGCTGCACACAGCTGCACACAGCTGCACACAGCTGCGACACTACGAGGCACCTTAAGAAGAAAGCAGCAGTTTGTCACAACACGGAGGCTCCGCCCACAGCGACTACACACTGACATCAGCTCCATCGTCCACACACAGCACTGGTCGACTTCTGCCTCGTGTCTGAAGGCAGAGCGCGACACAAACCGACACCTGTGAGGCCTTTAAAGTCGGCTCACACACACAAGTGCGCACACAGCAAAGCACAACCAGCACGAGTGCAGGACGCAGCACAGACCCTCCCTGCTGCAGAAGATGAGATTTCTTTTAATGGTCATTTCCTCTGGTTTGTGCTGGACAGAGGTCCTGCTGGGTACGAAGGTTGGATATTCACTCCTCCACCCCACACACCCATAAGCATGGACCTGACAGCTGTGACTTACATGTCGTTGCTTACATGCACCACCTGCATCTGCACTGCAGCCTTCACAGCAGCTGCAGCGTCTGCAGCGTCTGCAGCGTCTGCAGCGTCTGCAGCAGAGTATCATCGAGGCTGAAGCTTCTAGAGCTCAGTCAGAAGCTGCTGCCCTCAGACACAGGCTACATGTAGCAGTTTCAAACACTATCATTAAGATGAATAAGCTGTCTTAATCACACAAGTACAGCACTCACACACTTCCCCTCTAATGTTTCTAACACCGTACAGCTGCAACAAGGTTCAGGAGGCAGGACAGTCAATACGTGTGTCGTCAGAACACATGAACATTATCCATAAATAAATGACTAAACTCCAAATCATTTTGCACCACGTGCTGTGTGAAGACTGAGTGTGAGACTCCTACTTACGGCTGTCATAACAGATGTTGCCCAGAGCTCGGCCCGTCTGCAGCAGCACCTCCTGATCGGTGGAGTTGAGCAGCTGCACTAAAGGAGGGATGAGGCCGGCCTCGACACAGGGGCTCCGCATGAACTCTGGAAGCAGAAGACAGGTCAACATCTGTGTCACATTATCAAGCTCAGAGCATCAACTACATACATTATTTCATCTTCACATGCTTAAACCAACTGAGCCCAACCAACAGACTGAAAACATCTTCCTTTCATCGGACTCTCACAATCAGACTTCCTGTTAACTGTTCTTCTCCCAGACGTGTTGGTCAGGGATGGCTTCGTACCAGCACTTACTAATGTTGTGTTAGAGACCGGGAAATGAAACAGGAAGAAGATTACTGACTGCTGAATGAACAACAGTCAGTCGTCGTATCCTGTCTGTGGGAAGGAGGCCTCATCAGTCAGCGTGGATCATTTGGGCTGTCGTGTGGATAAGACGCTGCAGCAGCAGCTTGATGTAATCAGGTGAAACTGTTGGACAGGTGGAGAGCCGTCTGTAGCCCAGCAGACGTTTCCAGAAGCAGGTCACTGCTACGCTTGGCAAACTGGTGGGGAGTGATGATCAGCTGCTGGAAAGCCAGTCATCATCCTAACCTTCTCTTGTTCTGATCATTGTCTGTCTTTACACTGTGGACAACAGAAGCCATGCAAGGATCCTGTGCTCACACAATAACCTGCACGGACAGTTTGGCTCTGAAATGCACATAAACATGACCCCTGTGACCCCTGTGACCCCTGTGCGCCGACAACGCTCATGCGAGTGTCAGAACTGATCCGCAGAGAAGCCAGGCAGGAATCCAGACACCCAGGAGGAACGACAGGCTTCATCCAGGATGAAACAAAGTGTCTGCACATACGTGTGATGAGCTCACATGTATGTGCAGCTGCCACAACCAGGCAGCTGAAGACTGATGGTGATGCAGAACAGCCCCTCCATGAGGACTGGGTCACCCGTGAAGCTTCCCTGCTATCATCATCATCACTGCACAAAGGTGCACCAGAGCAGAGCAGAAGAGCCAAACTGGGAGCCCAGCAGAGTGGCTGGGACAGGCCTCAGGAGCTGGAGTCCTGTAGCTTTTAGATCACCCTGCTGAACACGCCTGAATCACATGAAGAGTTCATTACCAGGTCTGCTCAACACATGTTCAGGGGCTCATTCTGACATGTGTAAAACCTGCAGGACACGAGGCCTGGAGTTCCCACCCTGGTAAAGAAACATCTGTGCCGCACATGACGAGAGGTCCCCAAGACGCCACCATGGTGCGTTAGAACAACTGGGCTCCTCCTCCTGCGTGTTCCTGCATGACGTCAGGTCCCAGTCGAACAACTGCTGGCTAACCAACCAGATACACGGCTTTAAGAACCCCAATAACAGAGGAGCAGCAGGGTCCAGGCGTGACATCAGGTCTGTATGCAGCACAGCCCTAAAACCACCAGGATACTACACAGGTGAAGGAAGGAAGGAAGGAAGGGAGGAAGGAAGGAAGGAAGGAAGGAGCTCACTGGCTCCTTTGAGATGTAGGAAAGAATCACGTTAGTGGGAGAATAAAGCTAGAAAGCAAACCTCACCATTTTTTGCCACCTCGGCTATAATGTTGGCGACTTTGGGTGTGCAGGAGGACTGGGGGGTTAACAGGGTGGGGAACAGGGGGAGGACGCCCATCTCATGGATCTTCATGCTGGCTTCAGTGCCTGAGGAAGGAAAAACACAATTTTATGTGAACGCATCTGAAAACCTGCCAACTTTATTCATGTCAATCATTCATGTAAAAGTAACAGTCGTTAGCGTAGCTTCATGTTTACTGTGGCACTTCTCTACCTGCACTGACATCAGACGAGGCTTTACAGTGTTGTTTCTACAGAGGCAAACATTAAGTGTTATTGAAATACTGCTGAATTATCCTGTTACACAACCAGATCCTGTCAGAATGATTATTTTGCTTCAAATATCCTGCGTTGACTCGTGCATGTGGAACTAATGAACAATTATTTACCATCGTAACACAAAACTGCTGTGCAGCATCAAAAGAGGGATTGTTGTGAGTTATTGTGCACCAAGTGCAAAAACGATGAATAGGAAATGTTCCTGTGTTGTCGTACGGTGATGTTTGCAGCAGCTGAACAGAAACTTCTAGAAACAAACATCAGGACACGTTTCATTTGCCTTTTTAAAAACATGTTTGAGTCTTTTGTAGCTCCACCAACTCTCCACGCTTGTTCTGGGCTGCATTTCAGAATAATGACAAAGCCTGATGAAAGTTTTTGAAATAAACCTTTGGACAGATTCTCTGCACTGGCAGACCAGTGAGCCCAGTACAGAAGAGGGCAGGTCCACTGGGAAAGAAAGGAAGTGGATACGTCTTATTTATTTTTGCAGACCTGTTCCTGTCACAGGTTGTTTCTCATTTGATGCTGAAGGAAACTGGACTCACTGACACCTCGACTCTGTCTGCATCTCTCTGCAGCACAGACCTGCATCTAGAAGTGTTGTGATGGTCTGTGTCTCATCACTCTTTCTGCAGCACTGTTCAGCTGATGCTGACGAGGGTACGTTTGCTAATAATGATGGAGCTAATAGAAGCAGTCAACAGAAAAATACCCTCCTTCATCCGCGAGCACATGCCCCTCCTCAGAGAGCGCCCAGACGCTCGTCGAAGGAGCTGCAGAAGCTGCTGGTAGCCTAGCACAGCTGGATGGTGGACACGTGCATGCTCATGCAAGTTAGTCGGGTTTGAGTACTTTGTTCGCTCTACACGTCTGCACAAGAGACACACGCTTTACATCCTCAGCTTTACCTCTTTCATCTCAAAGGGGCATCTTTATATTTTTAGTGCCGTCATCACGACTAACGCAATCCTCTGGAGAGCAGACCGAGTCTAAGGCTGCGTTCACACTGCAGGCGAAAGCGCATCAAATCTGACTTTTTTGACCCTATGCGACCCATATACGATCATGGTATGACAGTGTGAACGGCACAAATC